TGAGAGCCAAAAGAGGTTTGTGGTCTGTCAGGATAGTGAAGTGTTGGTGTCTCAGATAATGACGAAAATGGCGAACAGCTGTAACAATTGCCCAGAGCTCTCGATCATAGGTAGACCATTTCTTCTGTGTAGCGCTGAGAGTTTGGCTGAAGTAGGAGATTACACGTTCTTTACCATCTTGAGTCTGTGAGAGGACAGCACCAACTGCATGAAGGGATGCATCCGAAGATAGGATGAACTCCTTTTCAAAGTCTGGATAGGCGAGGAGAGGTGGATTGGTTAGAGCTTCTTTCAGATGTTGAAAAGCATTTTCACACTCTGCTGTCCATACAAACTGTTGACCTTTTTGTGTAAGGGTCGACAAGGGAGTTGCAATCTTAGAGAAACTTGGCACAAAACGTCGGTAGAAAGATGCCAGGCCAAGGAAGGATCGGACATCTGTAGGTGTCCTCGGCTGAGGCCAGGACTTGACTTTCTCAACGTTGTTTGGGTCAGGTTTCACTCCTTCGGTGTTGATTATGTGGCCAAGATACGTAACTTCTTTCTTGAAAAAACCACACTTTGAGGGTTTAAGTTTGAGTCCAGCGTCTCTGAATCGTTGCAATACTTCTTGGAGGTTCTTGCAATGATCATCGAAGTCCTTGCCCATGACTATGCAGTCATCAAGGTATACCAGGCATGTAGACCAGTGGAGGCCATGTAGAACGGCTTCCATGAGACGCTGAAATGTCATGGGAGCGTTGACCAGTCCGAATGGCATGACAGTGAACTGGTAAAGCCCTGTGCCTGTGGTAAAAGCAGTCTTCTCTGTATCTTGGGGATCGAGCTTGACCTGCCAATATCCACTTGATAAGTCCATGACGCTGAAATATGCTGATGAAGAAAGGGAGTCAATTGAATCATCTTGGCGTGGAATAGGGTGAGAATCTCGAACAGTTACTGCATTGAGTTTTCTGTAATCCACGCAAAATCTGTATGTGTTGTCCTTCTTCTTCACCATGACGATTGGGCTCGCCCATGGGCTGAAGCTCTCTTCAATGATGCCTCTTTGCAGAAGTTCGTCCACTTGCTCCTGAATTTCCACTCTCATTGCTGGTGAAGTTCGATATGCCCTCTGTCGTATTGGAGTAGCTGTGGTGGTGTCAATGTGGTGATGAATAATGTCGGTCTGACCAATATCCTGAGACGTCGTGCTGAAAATATCACTGTAGGTCTGAAGAAGATGTTCAGCTTTCTCGTACTCTGTCCTCGTGAGTTCTGAAGAAGGGAGAACACCAGCAACTGGTGACTTGTCTGTCACTTGTGGATCAGCGTCAGTAGTTACGCTCATGATCTTGTATTCCTCTTCGGTATCCCCAGTAATGGAGAAGAATTGACCAAGGCAGGTGTCTGCAGGTAGATCGACTGCTTCGTCAGAGGGATTAATGAGGCGTACTAGAATAAGACCATCTTGAGGCTTGAACAGAGATCTGGCACCGATAACAGGAATGTGATCTTGCAATGTAGGTTCAAAGTAGCCATCATAGTCTCTTGGTACGATGTCGAACTGTGGCGACGACAATCTTCCCTGGACATGAGTTTCGCAGCTTGGGGGAATCCGAGCTTGTCCAACAAGAGAAACTTTACATTTCAGCGGGGCTTGGTATTGCTGACGATCGATGAAGGGAATAACATTTCCAGGCATGTTGAACGATGTTGGCGATATGCAGGCATTCTGGCTGTCAATAAAGTCCCATCCAAGGACAACTGAATGAGTGATGTTGCGTGCAACAACGAACTTGTGTTGTGTAGCCTTGTTCCCTAAGTGCAGAGATGGTACGATTGTTCCAATGTTGTCTACCAGCCCACCTGTGATAGTAGATGCCATGGATGTCAACTTTTCCAACGGGCTCCTTTGCGATGCTGGAATGGATGACAAAAATTTGGCACTCAACAGAGAGATGAATGATCCACTATCTACAAGTGCCAATACATAGACATTGTCGATAACGATCGGGATGTAGGGCGATTTCTTTGGCGAAATAGGTGCTATTCGTATTGGGACCTTGGTTTGTGTAGTTGATGAATGGCCCTCTTCCTCAACTACCAGAAGTTTCCCTGCTGCTGGTCTTCAAAACGAACTTGACGATAGGGAGCCTGTCTATGGGAGTCAACTTGATAACCTGCAGTGGAAGGATGCTGCTGATTTCGGCTGCTAGACGATTCATAGGGCCGTCTAGAGGGTGAAGTCCTAGATTGATATGCGTAGCTCCGATTAGGGCTTGGAGATATGCGTCTTGCATATTCAGGAGATCTGCGTCCTGCATATTCCGGAGATCTGTGTCTTGAATATCCTGGAGATCGGTGTCTTGCATATTCTGGAGATCTCTGTCTTGCATATTCTGGCGACCTGTGTCTTCGGTAGTCACGGCTTGGTGACGGAGACCCACGACGTTCCATGTGTCTTCCCTCATGGGAGCGTCCTGATGGGCTGCCACCACGTTGCTGAGATCTGCTAGGCTTTTCAACTGTCTCTAACTTTAAAGACATCCTATCCAGCTTCTTTTCTAACTCGTTGAGTCTTGGCAGTAGTAGTCGTAAGACTGATGATTCTGCAGGCGTCTTGTCCTGGACCCGATCATCTACAGCTGCTACTATACCAAAATCGTTTGCTTGGTGTGCTCTTTCTACACGAAGTGCGATCTTCAAGGCCTCGTCAAAATCAAAGCCTCCGAGCTCGTGAATCTTCACTTGAAGCGGCTTGTCTACCCCGGCAACAAATCGGCGAAATCTCTCACCACCTTTTGCATTGTCATCATAGGACGGGAAAGCCTCTTCTACTAAGGAAGCAATGGCTGATGCAAACACCTCTAACGGCTCACCTGGTTGGCGAGTTCGGGCAGTAATACAAGACTTGAATGTGTCAATAAACTGTGTCCGGCCGAAAACCTGAGAGAGTTTCTCTTCCATCTTCTTGAAATCCTTCTTGTCCGAAGCAGACAAGCTCTCCCACACGATGAAGGCTGATCCTGCTAGTCTTGCCGGAAGGAGGGTGGTCAAGTTGATAGAAGTGTCTGAAAACGCCTGTGCAGCAACTTCAAATCGGCGTATCCATTGACGGAAGTCCTTGCCGTTCTCTCCCGTAAACACTTCTGGCAATTCCATGCGATAAGATGCCATACTGTAGGAGTTATAAGCAATCGACTCAACCGATATGATCATCAACAAGATATCAACCCAGTAAAACTTACTGAATGAGTCAATGTGAAGGAGGGGGGGGGGGGGTCACTCTGAGTGCAGATGAAGAAAATGCAAACTCGACAGTTGAAATATCTGTGGCGAGCGGCTATGATGGAAGGAGGGTGTATTCTGCAACTGGTTACGTTGCTATGCCAACACTATGTAGAATATGCAGGTTGATATGGCAGAATGCTGTAATGTACGGCAGCCAAAGGCAGACTATGGTATACATGCAGACTGAATATGATAAGTTGCTAGAAAAATACAGAACTGTATGAAGGGTGAAGAAAAAAAAACCTCACTCACTGATGAATCGATGAATGCAGGAATATTCACCAAAATACAGCTCCAGTATGAAGAAGGGTAAAGGAAATCTCACTTACTGATGAAGGATGAATGAAGGAATTCACAAAACTACTGATGTAGGAAGAAATCAAGGCTCAAAAAGTCAAGATGAAACTTCAGTAATTAACGAAGGAGGTTGAATACACACAAACACTAACTGCCTCAGCTTAAAATGAAGGGAGGTCAATCAGTGCAGAAGAAGGGTGATATCATGCTCTCAAACATTCACATTCATATACAGATGGAGGGAGAATTTCACTTTGCAACTCACCACTAAAAACACTGCAAGAATTTCTACATATGAAGGAAGGCTGCAATTACAGTTTAGTGCAGAAAAACCACTGCTGGCACCAGTTGTAAAGTCCTACACAAAACAAAGTGGTCTCACATGGTTGAGGACTTGAGCTGCACTATCAGATTTTATTCCAACCACAAAATGGCTGCCAAGATGGCTGACATCCAGTCCATCAAACAATAATAACCAATCACAAGATTGGACAATAATTAGGTAACCAATAGAAAAGCTTGTAAAAGATAGAGTGCCATGTGCCATGTGTGCTGGGTTGAATAGCTAAGAGATAAGGAAGAGTGTGTGTGTGTGTGGTGCTATAGCAGGTAATGTGCATGAGGATGAATGAATAGGGACAGAACAATAGAAGCCAAGAGCTAGCAGACAGGAGAGAATGAATGTAGGTCAGGAGTGCGCTAAAGCATATCGGAGTGGAAAGCTAAATGTACAGTGTAAAATAAACAAGTAACCACTTGGATCAGTGAAATTAAAACCTTACAATATAATAAGAGTACTATACTTGAAGAACAGCCAACCTAATAATATAGCCTGCATAAATCTTTTCCAAGTGACAAAGTTGTTTAGAACCCCTTCGATTCATGACTGAATGTTTTTAGGATGTTTACCCAATGTACTTCCCCCTTAATGGCCCTGTTGTTGAAACTTTCTCTAGCCTAGGAAGTGGTAGTATGGCTAGAGTTGCATGCATTTTATCTGTAGAATACCTCTTTGTACTTTGTGAGGATATATGCTATCTCTCAAATACCTGTTGTTTGTATTTGGAGGAAGTTCTAGTGGAAGTTTATGGACTGTTGCTCAATGGATTTGGTCATATTTTTTATTTTCTTTGCTATCTGTGGTCAAGGCAGGCAAGCTGATAATCTAGGATTTTAAATACTCTGAGGTTAATTGTAGAGATAGCAGAAGCATTTGTAAAAGGATCACCATTTTGTATATGATGGAAACAACCCTTGGAGCAGCCATCACCATTTGTCATATGACCTTTCTAAATGCAAATTAATCTCTGCAATAGTATGAATCTCAAACCATTTCTTAGTAATGTTCTGGTTAGTAATGTGACTGCATTTCAGACTAGTTAGACCCTAAATGATTAACCATGTTGTATCTTTTTGTGTCATTTGTGTAGGGGTGTAGGATGCATCTTTCTTGAAATGATGTGGGGACAGCCGGCCTTCCCTGGTCTCAAGGATGCTACCGATCAGCTGGAAAAGATCTTCAAGGTATGTAACCTATATCCTACATGTAAATCTTAGCTTGTTATATATACTAAGCCAGAGATAGTGTAGAGTCAAATCACTTGTAAAGTTCTGATGCCAAAAGGATGAACATTCAAAGAAATAAATCATATGAACAAAAGTATATGTTTAATTTTGTGAATGAATGTATACTGTCATGGAGCAGAACAAACTAGAAAATATTAACCGTTTGCTAAATATGATGAATGTGATGACATTACTCAATCCATTCTTCAATGAGTTTTATGATGGAACAATAATCAGCATTAAGGAACATAGCCCCTCCCCCATCCCCCTTGGATGTAATTTAAAGTTTTATAATTGTCTTTGAATGATCATAAAATGATTTTCTCTTCTCGTCTCGTCCCGACAGGTTCTAGGAACACCAACAGAACAGACATGGCATGGAGTATCAAGATTACCCAACTACGGCAAGGTTGCGGCAGCGGGTAGATTCCACAAGCCAAAGCTTTTATGTGAAATCTTACCAAGGTAAGTTTTCATGGGTTCAGGATGTATTTTTGTAATGTTTCTTGTTAAATGTCATTCATCAGTAATTTGTTCCTAAAAATATAATTTATATCTTATACAATTTAAAGATTTTTAATTTCAATTTTCTTCGATGTTTTAATATCCATAAGACAATGGATGTTCTTCTAGTTTACATGCAATGTACATATTTTAATAATACACTTTATATATCACTGATCTTATCTAATCTCAACTGTTGTACTACAAATAGATAGAAATTACATAAGCTAAAGAAAGTGTTGTATAATTTGTTTGAATGATAGAAATTATGCTCTTAATCTTTGATCTTTTTTCTTCTTTGTTTTACAGTATACTCCTTATACCTGGAGCAGAAAGCCTCATGACTGATATGCTACAGGTGAGTTATGAGATTTCTTGATAGAAGTTTTAATATTCTGTTAACTTCATGTAGGTTGAATTTGTAGTCAAAGTAACTTTGCTTACAAATATAACGTTCATAAGACATAGCAATCTGCCATAAAGGAACATATTTCAGTTATAGGCAAATCATTTTTTTTTAAACACTGCATTGCAGATATGATATGTTTCAAGATTGTTCAAAGCAGAACTATGTATGATATTTCAGATTAATGTTCTTTAAGTTAAAGCCTTCATGGGAAAACAATTTCTGTTACAGTAATTATCAAAGAGGAATATCTTGATTCATTACAAGTCAGAAGCTACTCCATCAATGGGATATATGTATACTCTGTATTGTTATTTGAAATTAGAATTACTATAACATAATTGCATGAATTTAATCCATATATTATTCTTGCCATTCTTGTGCATTTTCAGTTGGAACCAAGGAAGAGGATATCAACAGTGCAAGCAATGACCTGTCAGTACTTCAAGGATCTACCACCAAAGATCTTTGATCTCCCACCTGGTAAGATCTAGTTGTCTGGTGGTGGTGGTGATGGTGGTGGTGGTGGTGGTGGTGGTGGTGGTGGTGATGATGATGATGATGATGATGATGATGATGATGATGATGATGATGATGATGATGATGATGATGATGATAACGATGATGGTGGTGGTGGTGATGGTAGTGGCGGTAGATTTTAGGGATTGCTATGATGATGATGATGATAGTAGTGGTGGTGATGATGATGAAGATGATTATGGTGATGATGATGGTGGTGATGATGATGATGATGATGATGAATTTAGTGTAAAAGTGGTAAAGAATGACAGATTATGTTGTATCAATTATAAAAGTACAGTGTTTTTTATATCAACATCAGTAATAGAAATCCAAGAATAGAAGATAACAAGATCTCACATGGTGCAAGATAACAAGATCTCACATGGTGCACCCGCAAGCCTACTGTATAACAAGAAATTGTATTCATGATTAAAATCTTGAGGAATACCTATTGATACGTTCACACTTCCTTTTTTTTGTAAATTTTGTTTAGAGTATATTCATCATTGGATTAATCCATTCTTATTTCTCTTTCTTTTTCTATCTCAGGTGCTTCTGTTTTCAATGTGCCTGGAATGAAACTAGAGCCAGAGAAAAACAATCTTTCCAAATGAACAAGCTCCTCTATTGGACATTCCAATAATTCTGATTCCATAGAGACAATCTAGGACCAATCAGAGAGCAGCTCTCAACCTGAGGAAGAGAAGCCTTGCAAGATGTCATTTAGGGCCAAGCAACTAAAGCCTACATGTATGTAAGAAGCATGCTGATTGGCTGTTGAAAGTGCTTTCAAAGACCTGTGTAGGATCATGCAATATTGATGGCCAGGAAACTTTTATGTGAGGCCATCTGTGATTGGACAACAGAGGTCCTAAGCCACAAGAGAGACTTGTGGGGATTGGATAGAAGAGATCCCCAGCAACATCTGCCATTTGGTGGAAATGAGTTTTCAATCAAGAACAAAAAACAGCTCATCTCCATTTAATTTCTATTGAATTATGCTTCTTATGAAGTAAATCAATCAGTGGTGAAAAGTTATCTCCATTTTCAAAGTCTAAAAAAGCCATAAACCGATGCATTTATCTTATCTCCCCTTTATTGCAATTTGTGCTAGAAATGGGATCAGTAGAATGAAAATGCTTCATTTGAATCGGGAGAGTCGGAGGCGAGATAATCAAACGTACAAGCCATATTCCAGTATATTTTAGCCACTGCTTTTGCATTTATTGACGAATAAGCCATGAACATAAACTGGGATAAGTTGACTGATGGATGGATCTATTGATTATCAAAATTTGCAGTGAAAATTGAAATTTGAATTTATACCTATCAGCTTAAGCGACATATGGTTTAAAGATCACCAATAAAACAGCTCCTCAATATCTGTATTACTGACATGCATAAACCAAAGCCAGAACAAAGTGGATTACATCAATATTTTACCTCTGTCTTATATGCAGAAACACATCTGTGTTCTTTCTTTTGATGAATCTAATTTCAGGTTAATGAATTTCAATTCAAAATTTGTTTAATTGTTAATCATCTATTGCGTTTTGATGCAAAAGAACATGGGATCATAAAATAGATTTTTATGCAAAAATTGACAGTTTTTTTCTATGAAAAAGAGGAATCAAGCAACGGAATGTTTTACTTGAAATTTAGCAATTGAATATATGCATTATGTTATAGCATTTGTGAACATAATAGGAAGGAACAAAAATTTGCAATCAATAAGTTTTTTAATTACATGTATGTATAGACAGAATTTTAATAATTTTCAGTCCTCAGTAATTTTGATTACTACTGAAATGTCTGTTTTTGCGAATGTACCGTACCTCTTTAGGACAGTGGATATTTTTACTACATTTGTGTGTCAGGAATAGTTATTATTAATTCAATTCTACAAGTGGCCTTTATAGCGCCGAACACTGATGAAAACAAAGATATTTGTATTGCAAATCAAAGATCAAGAGTATCACTATATTTTTGTGTTGTAAATAACCAGGTAAATAAGCTAATTTATACAACATTGATGTGAGGTAATTGAGATATATGCATCTTCTTGTTTAGGTTGATACGTAGGAGAGAAGATTAGTTATCGGGAGTGATGGGATACCTGTACATCTCATGGAAATTAACATATCGTCTGTTCATAGTCAAAAGGCCATGAGCTCACATACTCGTACACGAGTATACGCCTTTTCTGGTTAAAAACAGACGATATTTCATTGGCAGTACTTTATGTAAAGCAGTTGGAACAATCTTTGAATTGAAAGAATCAAAGAGTAAATTAGAGGATTTGGGTTTATGGTGATATTCTTCATATGATGATAAATTTTGTGACTATAGGTAGATAGAGATTCACCTTTAGTCTAGGGTCTAGGAAAAGAAAAGCATATTTATATTTCATGCCATTTTAAAAAGTTGCCTAAATATATTTTGTTGTCAAATTTGCAATTGCCAAATGGATTTATCCCACTGAGTATACCTAATTTATTATTTTCAAAGTAAACTCATTTGTTATAGAAGCATCCACATTTGGTGTATTTACATTTTATGTTTAAAACAATTTAACAAAATGAAAAGAAGGAAAGACTTTGCAAGTGTCTATAACACCAAATCATAATTTTGCACAGGTACTTTCATAAGCATTGTGTGATCAAGCTTAAGCAATTCTATCTGAGCAGTTACGTGCCATAGTTTATTATTTCTCAAATACAGAAAATAATTCAGCCTTTTTTTTTTTAAATTCAGGCTTCACAAAATCAGCCATTCAGAATTAGGCACATTTTTGTTGTTGTCTTTAATCCAGAATAATTGATATTATTAGAATATCAAATTTGAATGCTTCTTTAAATATTCATGTGTGTAAAAAAGAATTTGTTTAAATTGTAAGGATAAGTGCAATAGTATATAATGGAGTCTAGATGCTGGGCATCTGATTCAGTTTTTAATTATTTTAATTTTTTATCTCATCTTCTTTTTAAAATAATCTCATTTTATTTATTATTTCATCGAACAAAATCCAGAGATGATATTTCAACTCTGTTCAACTTAACAGTACTCTGTATTCGCTTATATTTTTGATGATCTGTTTTCCTTTCCTTTTTCTTTAATTTTTTTTCTTTTCTTCATTCAACTTTCTAATGAGAAGGGGCTTGTTACCATTGGTAGACTGATGCATGACTATTTTAAAGTGTACCAAGTACCTAAAGAAATGCTTCGATCTAGAGTGTATAAAATTACCCTCCAAAAACTTCATGCAGCTGTTTATGGGCTGAGCCACTTTAACTTGCAAAATCTCTTTGCAGAAATAATATTTGAAGCTCACACTTACATGCAATTAATAACATTAAAACATTATTTTTTTGGTGTTTGGTACACTTAATGTTGGACAGAAATTCCTGTAATAGGGATTTGTTGTTTCACTTGAATGTGGTTTAAGTATGAAAGAGATGATGAGCTGTATAGCATTATACTTTGAAGGCCGTGGTAACAATGGTAACAGGCCATATCTTTTTTGAAGATTTGATATCTTATTATTAATATTAAAAAATGTCTTGGACATTGTGTATATATCTATTTTGCATTTGTAAAATAAAACTGAAAAAAATTGATGGAATTACTTGTGTGCCGACATTTTTGTGTGTATGCAGTTGCTTTTCTGAAGTACTGAGAACAATGAAATGAATGGATGGTGGGAGAGTTTTTGAGTCCAGGGGGGTGTTTCACAAAGATCCTAAGTTGAACTTAACTCTAAGTTGGACTTGAAAGTTATGGAGAGCCATTTGTAGCCTTAAAATAAAATATATTCAAAAGCAAAAATTCAAGTATTTAAGACTTTTTATAAATTCCAGATCAAGAACATGAAATCTCCTTGATAATAGAAAATTATGATTGATTTGAATCAACATTTTATACCTCTTAAAAAAGCTTTTACAAAATATTTTCAAAGATGCTAACGGCTTTCCATAATTTTTAAGTCCAACTTAGAGATAAGTTCAACTTAGGATCTTTGTGAAACACCCCCCAGAGTTTTTCCGAGAGATAAGGAAGAATGAAAGAGGCATGAGGACACTGGAGTTGTGACAGGGACATAGAGAAAGAGAGAATGGGGAACAGTATGTAAAGAGAGGGAAAGGCAAATAATGAGACAGGGAAGAAGACTGGGAAGAGAAGGGAAGAGGGAAAGAGAAGGAGGGAGAGGGAGAGAGATTTGGAAGAAAAAAATAGAAGAGAAAATTACAAATTACAAATTACTTTGTAAAGACTGAAATGGGAAAAAAATGAGTCAGGGAGATGGAAAGAGAGAGAGAGAGAGAGTGTGTGTCTAATTTGATTCAGAAAGGAGGTGGTTGGAATATGCTTATTAGGATGGCAGAAATATAAAAAAATATTGAGATGAATATTGAGATTCAGTCAGAATGTTAAAGAGGGAAAAAAAGACAGAGAAATGCAAAATGCAAACAAATATACATGTAGTGAAATGTAGAGAAATACAGGATCCCATTTGGACTCTTAACATAGATGGCGCCTGTCAAATTGGCTTGCTCTGCAGGATTGGGGCTTCTGATGTTATATCATTTGTCTGAAATTGAGTAGGTGATATGCTGTCAAAGTGAATCACTTGCTTGCTTCCTTGGAAACAGCCTATCGATGCATCAGTTCTGATTATGGGTATTTTCGGAAGACATGCTGAGAATCATTCGACAAAACGTAAAGAAATGGCCGATAGTTGCTCTAAAAATATAGAATTAATTTCCTGAACTAGATGTCCAGTCCTCGTAGTTCAGTCTCATAGACGATCAGCACTAAAATATGAGGGGCCTAGGTAAAGGTCTGCATTATATTATAAACCAACGCTATGATCATCATAGCGTTGGTTTATAATGTAATGCAGACATACGCCCCTCATATCTTAGTGAACAACCAGACGAAAATGAAATGTTAGACAACAAAACAAATCCCATTTCTTTCTCCTCACATGAAACAACAATATAATGCTGATACGTTAGTTTCTCCGTTTCAAGGAGACAATAATAAATGTCATTGTCGGAGGGTTTGCTTATTTATTTGTTTGTTTGTTTATTTTAAGAGCAAGTGAAGGGTTACATTTGAATTGTTTACCTTACACGCTGAGAGAACAATGAGGTTTAGAAATGTATCCCAAGCTTCATGACCCTTGAAATTGAAAGCGATTAACGCTTTAGCGCCCTCATACATTAAAGGAACTATAGTCGGTCTCCTTATCTGAGATCTGTCTATTCGCCCATCTGGGGTTGTCTGTGTATGTTTGATTTATGAGTCCATTATCATTCACTGATCTCAATGCATTCCTCTCTTCTTTAGTCTGTCACGGCATTTTACGGCCTCATAAATCCTTGGCTTTGTGAGTTGACAAAGAAAACTAGTCAAAATGGAGACAAGAAATGCACACCTTTCGTTTCATGATGATGGTGGTGTTGAACTAGTTATGTGCAACGATGTTTTATCATTTTTTTGTCCACAGACATAAAGAATCGTCTCATCGTTTTGCGATTCGATAACTGATTTTCGACCCGATAATGACGTGATTTCGGTTACGTCAAAGAGAACTTGATAGTTAATTTACTTTATTGAATTACATAGCTCTATTTTGGCAACAAAAGGAAGCGATTTTTGGATTTACGCATTTAAAATGATTTATGTATAAGTAGTATGAAGGTGTGATGGTTGAGAATAATGAAGGTTATTGTAAAATGATCAGGAGCCAAGGCTGATTGAAACCCGAGGTGGAAAATGGACAAAGACCGCTTTTCTTCTGCAACAAATTTAATGTAATCTTCCAGAAATCGAGATCGTCATGAGTTCAGATTATCTCTCCAGAAAAGTTCTTAGAATTGATTATCGCAGTGATATATCATCTCTCTCTCTCTCTCTCTCTCTCTCTCTCTCTCTCTCTCTTCATGCACCTTCCTCCTCCCTCCTTCTCCTCCTTCCTTTACTCATCCTACCCTATCCTCTACCCACTTCTCATTTGCCTCCTTCTATTTCCTCTTAGATCTACTTTAGCCTTCTGTTTCTCCTTCTCGATTCTATCCCTTCACACATCCTTGTTTTCCTCCTTCTTTTCTGTCTTTCTCTCCTCCCCTCCTATTTTCCTGTTCTCCTTTTCTCATCCCCATCCCATCCCCTCCTCCTTCCCACTCTTTCGTGTCTATTGTCATCTTCTTTTCTATTTAAAAATACTCCTCACCCTCCCTCCTCATCTTTCCCCTTTTCCTCGACTTCCTCTTCCGCCCTCCACATCCTTCTCCTTCTTCTCATTATCATCCATTCTATCCTCCCTTATCCTTTTCTTTTTCGGCATCATCTTCCTCTTCTCCCATCTCTTCCTCCATCTTCTCTCCATCCATATCCTCGTGTCATAGGCCAATCCAACAGCATGATTACTCAGCTATCGACCAGCCGGGCTTTGATGGACTTGTGTTTATTTTCTAGATTACATCGTGTTGTTGGCGGTCAGTAACATTCGAAAAGATGACTGACAGGTGCTTATATTATACTGCCCGGCCTGGATATATTTTGTTCATTCCAAATGAAAAAAAGAAGGAAAAATAAAGTTTGTAAAGTCTAAGTTGGAAGAAATAAAATCATCCAAACGCATGTATAAGCCTAGAAAACCGTTTCTGTTCGCGTGTCTTTTGTTTTGCTTTAGTAGAGTTTAATTCGAAAATTTCAGCAAATACATACCATTTTTCATTAGTATTATCCAGCAACTTTGTATCGGCTTGCTGATTTTTTCGATTAAAAAAAAAGATCATCATATTAATGTTGAGTATAAAAAGTGCTTCTTCCCTCCCACCTCCTCCCCTCTCCTCCCCCCCCCCCCCCCCCCCCCCCCATCGGCATTTTGTCATTTTGTCATTCTTGCTATATGAATTTGTCGTTGTGACTTTTAAATGCGTTGGTAGCAAGTCAAAGACAAAGACGACCCCCACCCCCCCCCCCCCACCCGAAACAAAATAGAATAAAATCCCTACCAACATTATTAATGACCGGAACCAATCAATATGCGATGTCTATCTCAAACAGATAAAACCAATTGTTAGTTTAATTCAAAGCTTGCATAATGATGTTGTTTGCCTGATAATTATTAAAAATCACAATAAAAACGGGATGGGTTAATGTACAATGTACATGACTTCCCGATTTAGATTTTGTTTATTTTTCAAGATGTAAGTTTGTGATATGGTGACGAAGATTATGTCAGTGCTGATTGACAGCTATCTCCGACTCTTCTTTGATTGACATGTGAGGACTGAGGAGATAAAGGCCTGTCAATCGTCATGGGGCGCTTCACAGATGAGTTCTGAAGAAGAAAAAAAAGGATGAACATGATTCACTCAAGTTGTCACCTTATATTTACCAATCTATTTTGCCATGGTACCCAATACAACATTTTCGTAATGAAATCAAATTCAATGCATAAATCTTTGTTAAGTGCCATGTTACAAATTATTTCATTCATCTGTTATGAGTAAATGTATTTCAATAGTCAAAATGCATTTATTGCATACAATAATTGTTGCAAGGTAGGACAACCATAATGGCTTGTACTATCTAACAACAATGGTCTATTAAAATTGCATTGTTAATTACATTATTTGTATCTTAAAATCCTCCGGGGATAAACAATAGTTTGAATTGTTTCAATTCATGACTTGTTGGTGAAAAAAGATAGAGTACAAGTCATCTGATTTTCAGTTCATTGATTGCTTACTCGAGTTCATGTCATTCAAATTATTTCAGTTACAAATCGTAAACATTTGTGTTTCATTCAATTGATACTTTCAAGTCTAGAGTCGTAGAGTGGGGAAAGTGGAGGATGGGGGTAACTTTCACGAAGTCCTGAACTACCAAACACAAAAGAGATTCGACTTTATTCCATCGTGGATTTATGTCGAAAATGGAGATTAAGTTAGGCCTATTAACTCATGAATGAGAAGTATTGACTTGCCAATTTTGATCTCGCCCTGTAAGTGCCCGTGGGCTTTATATATCCCACTATTAGTTTTGCACATAGTAATACATAATCATTTAATAGAATATGAATAAAGTTTGATTATGTTATGGAGTCCGATCTCATGTGTCTGGTGGCCGATTCGTGGAAATTTACATACATGGTATTTTGCACATCTGTGCTTTGTTATTCTTTATTTGAGATAATTGCGGTACCCGGTGACATTTGAACATCGTTTATTTCATATGGATTCC